GGAAAAAGGAAGGAGCAGCGTGGGTGAATTGTACCAACACCCACTTGATGCTGCAAATGCTATCCCAGGTGTTTGATCTCACTTGCTTTTAGGTATGTTGGCGAAACTTCCTTTTAAAAAATAATTTATTTTTGAAGTCAAACATCTGGGTCTATGTTCTGAGAAGAGCGAAATCAGAGTTTCTATTTATTTGTTTTCTTCGCTGACTCTTACTTAGAACGAGTCTATTAGCTGTTAGGACACGCGGACTGAAGGTTGGAGTTTGGGGGCAGAGGCACAGGGCTGTCACTTGAGGCTACGCACCTGGGCCGCCCAGAGCCGCCGCGGCCCTGCCCCGTCTGCTCAGCCTTCTCCGCGATCTTCCGCAGACCACGCGCCGTGCCATTTCCTTTGAGGCCTGGAGGAGGGCGGCACGTTTCACAGCAAAAGCCTCTGAGGCCAGGAATCTGGCTTCAGGGGTCCCGGGGGCACCCGCCCCGCCCCCACCCCGCCTCCTCACTCTTCCAGCGCAGGCCGGCCAGCCCCGCGGAGCTTACGGTGCGCGGCCAGTCTTCCGCCCGGGCCTGCGCGGGCCTCTGCCGGCGCTGACGAGCCGAGGCCCGGCGTCGGGGTCAGGTTGAGCCTCTGGCCGGCCCTCTTGCGGGTGTAGACCCGTAGCGGCCACATTGCCACCCACTCCCAGGCCTCGGAGGCCACTTGGCCGTCGACTGCCTGTCTCGTTGCCTTCCTTAGGAACTGAGCTACCGTCTGAGAGAGTCAAGGTCCAGAGGCGGCCTGAGTGGGGAGCAGACCAAGAGGAATAGGGAGAAGAGCACGAGGCCAGCAGCGCCCTGCCTCGCTCCGGCCTTCCTACTGGGACCGCGCTGAGGCTTCTGGGAATATGGTGGCCGCCACGCCCTCCACGATGCTTAGGGCCCGGGTATTCGATGGTGGCCTGCGTGGCTCTGAGGCCCTTCTTCATGCTGACAGAAAGTTTACAGGAAGAAGCCTTTTTCTTCCTTCAGGAGTTTGTGCCCTGTGCTGCTGATGCCTAGGCCGCTCTCCTTACTAAGGCCTTGGTAATGGAGTTTTAGATCTCTGAGCACAGGAGTAGCCTGACTCAGTGCAGGAAGGTCAGAGAGGAAGGAAAGCATGTAAAGCGACAGAGAGCGTCCTCTTGGACAATCAACTTCAGTCAGCTGGGGGGCTATGGTACTTGAGAGTCTATCCAAGCATTTGAAAAATCTTGCATTCCGGAAGTTTCTTTTCAAGGACAAGCAGAATCCCTTAGCCCCTGCCTAGGAGCCTGCTGGACATCTGGCAGCCTCATGTCAAGGTGGAGAATTCCACACGGGCACTCCTCAGCTCTTTTGCTCGACTCAATTGGGGGGACATAGGAACGACCTCCCTCTCTCTCCATATACCCACACTGAACCATCTGGCTGCATCTGATGAGCATATTGCACATGTAATAACCATCTTTTTTTTAATGACATTTCACAAGATTAAAAATGGCATTTGTAGAGATGAAATTACGAAAACTCAGACTTCTCTGTAATGTTCCAATATTGTGTTTGACTATAAACACATATATAGGCACTATACTTTTATATTTCAAATGTGCTCGTAGAAAGTCATTTATGACAGTTGATTTCATATATAATTAATCCATTAAAACTTAACCTCATAAAGAACAGAGGGTGGCCATTCTGACCCGATTAGATACAGTGTGTTGAGTCACTGAATCAGTGCCTACTCAGCTCCTCACTCTGTGTTAGGCACTGTGGTAGGTCCTGGGGATAGAGGTGAACTAGAAAATGGCCCCTCAGCCAAGGAGGATCTCAGAGTTTTGCTGCAGTATAAAGCAATGATCGTATTTCAATATCTTCTTCAGTCACATCCATAATATGCTGACAGTCAGTCTCTAGTTTATAAGCCAAGCGCCCAGGCTCCCCCTGTCCCTTTCTGAAACAACCTTCAGGAGGTCTGGGTCCTGTGATGCCCTAGGCCTCAAAATGGAAGAAACATTGAAAGAGGCAAAACAGCTTAAAGCAAAGTCTGACCTGCCCTTTGGTGGTCCTATTCCCTAGAACTCTTTCTGGCTATATAGAATCACTCACTAAAGTGCCATCAAGTAAAGATTTAAGGGAGTTCACAGATAGGGGTTCAAAACTGGAAGTAACCTTTGGTATGCTTTCTTGAGCCAAAAAGGTCCTTAGAGACAACCTAGTTGCCCCCTTATCGTGCAGGTGAAGAAACCGCAATCTGAGGGGGCTGGTTATGACGGATGGTTGGTACAGGAGGCACAGACCTGGCACTTGGCGAGTGTGCTTGTCACGCTCCCATTCCCCCTAACACAGGGCTGGGGAAGGGATGAGGGAGCTTGAAGTAGCAAGGGAAGGGGAAGGAAGTACAGGTAGACTTGGTCTATTTAAAACTTTACCTAGGGCCCTGGCCAGTGTGGCTCAGTGCACTGAGTGCTGGCCTGTGAACTAAAAGGTTGCCAGTTTGATTCCCAGTTGGGGTACATGCCTGGGTTGTGGGCTGGATCCCCAGTTGGGGGCATGTGAGAGTCAACCACACATTGCTGTTTCTCTCCCTCTTTTTCTCCCCCCCTTCCCCTCTCTCTAAAAAAATCTTAAAAAACAAACCAACAAACAAACTTCGACGAGAGCCAGTGTATGAAAGGGGAAGGAAATGAGTCCTCTACAAAAGGGTGAGGTGGGTCAGAGCGACAGCTCAGCTCAGTCATCTCTCTGTATGTCCCCTCACTCCGCCCCTAAATACACAAATGCCAGTACAAGCATTCAGTCGTGAGTGATTTATTGAACTTCTTCCACTTCCCTGATGTACTGTTGTCATATCTAGATTCAGAATTCTGCCATCAGTGTTTCATTTCAGTAACGTGACAGGTTTGATAAGCCTGCACCAGTCACGGAGGTGCTAACTTCCGTGGGAAAACAAATTCTGAATTCCTAAGACATTTCTGAAGAAAGCTTTTTGAAAAACAGCCAGTTTGTGGATTTGGGATTCTTTGGAGCCCAGAGAAAATCTTTATGAATACTGTTTTGGGTTTGGGTTTTTTTTGTTGTTTTTTTTTTTTTGCAGTGACCCACTGAGCAGCTTCAATTGTGGTACCATCCACAGGCTTCAAGGTCCAACAGAAAACCAGTTTATTTATACTTAGCTGTCAAGAAGAGAAAAAGTCAGTGACAGATGAAAAGCACCTTCAGGCATGGAAGTTTTAATGCTATGCAACGTATGAAAAAAAAAGGCAAGGGGGTTTCCATTCGATAGACTTTTCTTGAGCATCCACTGTGGGCCAGACCTGCACTGGGGCTACAGTCTCAAGCAACTTACAGTCTGAGTCGGAGTGAGGCAAAGGGATAATCAACCAGTCAATCATGTGAGAAGCTGCTCGGAGAAAATACTTGGGCTGAGTTTTAAGAGATGAATGATAAGAGTCAGGACTAAAGGAAAGGGTGTTCTACAGAAAGGGGACTGTACGTGCCGCACAGAGGCACAGAAAAACATGTTGCTTATAGGATGCCGCATAAAGTAGTCGGTATGATTGGAGCCAAGGTCCCATCAGGGAAGGGCAGGAGAAGAAGTGCTGGGCCTGGTGTGCTGAACCAGGGAGTCTGAACTTTATCCTGGAAACTATGGGAAGTCATCAAGGGAATATTAAACAGGAAAGTGGCATGACCAGATTTTCAATTTTAAAAGGTCACTATGACTGAAATGTGGGTGGCGAAATTTGAGGAAGCTGGAGTAGAAACAGAAGACTAATTAAGAAAGCACCATAGTGGCCCTGGCCAGGTGGCTTGGTTGCAGTGTTGGAACGTTGCCCCATACACCAGAAGCCTGCGGGTTTGATTCCCAGTCAATGCGCACACACACCCCGGCTGTGAGTTTAATCCCTGGTGTGTGAATAGGAGGCCACCAATTGATGTTTCTTTCTCTCCCCCTTCCTCTCTCTAAAATCAGCCCTGGCTGGTGTAGCTCAGTGGATTGAGCACAGGCCTGGGGACCAAAGGCTCACTGTCCAATTCCCAGTCAGGGCACATGCCTGAGTTGTGGGCCAGTTCCCAGCAGGGGGCGCACAAGAGGCAACCATACACTGATGTTTCTCTCCTTCCCTTCCCCTCAAAAAAATAAATAATAAAAAATAAAATAAAATCAATATATCATCACTTCTCAGCCTCTGAGCTAAGATCAAGTCTAAATCAATATATCCTCCGGTGAGGATTTTAAAAAACAAAGCACTATAGCCAAAAAAAAAGATGAGAGAGGAACCAATTACATGAAAAGCTTTGAGAATAGAAAGGAGTGGAGGCTGGTAAATATAGAGAAGGCCGAATCTGCATAATCTAGACATGGCAGAACATACCACTTTAAGAAAATGTGCCTGTTAACTTGTAGGCAGGTAAAAGACATTATGGAGATACTGTTTTACAGGCCATGATGATGGAAATTTTGAATAGTTATTTGTCCTTTTTTTCTCACCAGGGATATATTTATTGATTATAGACAAAGAGGGGGAGAGAAACCCCAACCAGGGACTGAACCTGAAACCTGGGTATGCGCCCCGACTGGGAATGGAACCAGCGAGCTTTTTGTGTATGGGACGATGCTCCAACCAACTGGGCCACCCGGCCAAGGCTGTTCTTATCTATCTGTCTTTCTATCTGTCTATCTATCTATCTATCTATCTGTCTGTCTATCTATGGTTCTGAAACCTGGGAGTGAACCATATTTTATACCATAAAAGTGATTTAAATCCAGGGCACATTTGGTAATAGCAACTGTGCAAAGCGAAGGAGAGCCTCTTGAAGCACCAGACCAGGACAGAGGGAGGAGAGTATGCAGACTAGTGACATGCTTTACACCATGTTCACCGTAAGCACTAAATGTACTAACATCACAGGGTTATGTGATATAAATATATAAAATAGCAGTTATAAGCAACTTTGAGAAACAAAAAACTCTTTATTTTTTACAAAAGTTTCCATAAATGCATTTTATATTTGATATGCATGCTATTATAACAAAGCAACTAAAATATAGTTGTTATTTTTATGCATATTTAAAAAGTAATATTTTAATCTCCTTTTAAAAAAATTGAAAGTTGAATAAGCGAGTCTTCAAAAAATATCCATTTCCCCCCCTCATGCACTTGTTGCAATGACTTAACAAGGAAAATGAAAATAACCAGTCAAATGAATGTTTAAAAGCCACTTTCACCTCATGAAAACCTTTCAGCTTGGGCCCAGGTTCAGAAATGTTTGTATTTCAGATATTTATCGGTATCCTCTGGGTGATAACCAAGTTTCTCATCTGCAGCTTTGTCCTCACTTGAATGCTAATCCCATTCTCACTGCAGTTAATTGTACACCCACAGAAAGGACTGTGCAGGGTACCGGAGAGTAAATTCCGACTCCGGGGATCATTTCATCTTTTCCTGTACATGCCTCCTTAAAATAAAAACAGGCAAGACAATGCAGCGATGGAGCTCAATGTATAGCTTACCAATTTTATGTGTGATTATTCATTCTTTTTTCCTGAGATAATTAAGCAAGTTTGTAAGTAGTCTGTTTTCATGCAAAAATACATTTTTCCATTCTTTACATTCATTTCATAGTATTTTGTATTCTAAATAACTAGATCACATTTGTGCTTTATACATTTGGAAAATAAAGAATAATTCACTTTCTTTATGCAGAAAATAAGATTATTGGTTCTTCAGTGGGTAATACAATCAAGTTCAGTGCCAACTTCAAGTAGCTAAAACATCACCTGACTATAAAAATAGCATTTTTTCTCATGCTTGCAGTTTTACCTAAATTAGGAATGAAAGATTGACTTGCTCATGTGAGAAAGACACGGTGTGTCCATTCCTTGGACTCCTGAGTTCGTGAGTTCCCAACAGTTGCAGCTATGCCTACACACCACGCCTGGCCAGAGTTTCCTCTATCACCTGGAGGGAATCATAGCATAACACAGAGATGTCTTTCATGGCAAAAGGAAAAAAAATTGGCATATATTCTATTTTATAATAGACACAAGATTAGCTTGTAAAATGTGAGAAAACACATTTGAATGACAAACAGGTAAAAGGCCAAATGTTTAAATATGTTTATGCGTAAGGAATTGATCTGGGCTATACCTCTAGACTTAAACTGGACCCGACCTCCACTATGAAGGTGCGTGTCTTAAGCACACAGCCTTTTTCTGTATTGGTTAAAGTGAAACACAGACTTCGTTGCGCTAAATAAAGCTGGGAAATCTGAAACACGAAGGGCTTTCCCATTAATACATATTGCTCCGTTCCTCCTGTATTAAAAAAAAATCAGTGCAGCTAAGCAGAGGAATAGATAAATGTACTTGCGATATATTTGGGGGCCCACTGTTCACTTTTCTCATCATATGTGCGGTAACTGATTTATTGGCCCAAGTGTGATGCTTTCACACAGATCAGGAAGGCTGGTGGAAACATAAGATCTTTAAAAGAAGAAAAAGAAGAAATCTCAAGGTGTCCATAATCAACCTTATCTAACCTCTGTGAGGTATAAATAGAATCAAAATGTTTTAAATCATTTGCTTATATGACATTGTCAAAATCCTTTTGGAAACAAAACCGCTTTTGTTTCCAAAGTTTCATTTTCTTCAAGATGTGAAGCTATTTGCCTTTAAAATAGTATGAATATCCAGGTAATGATTTTCCTTTTTAATTAGTCAACTATCTATTAAATATAAAAATTTCATGTTATAGAGATGTGGCCTTAGGCATTTTCTAGTATTTGTTTATTCAGAAATGCCTTTAAATTAATATGCATAGAACTAGCTCATTTACAAAAAGTCAAATTTGTAAGTGTAAGGCAAGTAAGTAGTGGGTCTGCAAAGAGAATATTGCAACGCAATACATATTAAAAAACTGGATAAATACATCCGATGAAGCTGTGGTTCACTTTTGCCAAGACCGATGTGTAAGTGTGCAGTCACTTGTGCACGCCCATCCAGGAGGCCTGTGTGATGGCGCAGCTTTTAACTCAGTCTGGGCTTGCTCTGGGGGAAGGGGTATTCTGGACTGGGAACACTGCCCCCTTTTCCGCTTTCAGAGCCCAGTCTCTACACAAAACACCTTCCAAGGAAGGTTTCCTTCTGCAGGTGGACAGTGTATAGCTCGGGCCTTAACTGCCCTTCATGCTGGGCTTTAATTACATGAAATTGTTGGCAGCCGGGTGCAGGGCACATCTAAATACATAACGCGAGAGATTTTTGTGGTGGAGCTTCAAAGCACTTAAAGATTTTATGAATGAAACTGTACCCCGAGGAGATATTTATATTCTTCAGAATTGTTGTGGAAAAATGACCTTATTTGGAAATAACATTCCTTCCTCCCTACATCGTGCCTTGATAGTCTTGCTGAAAGCAAGTAAGATCCTTCCGAATCATGGGCATGATGGGTTTCCCAGGCCTGGCGTGGACACACTGAGAACGGAAGCCTGGGAGAACCCAGCCAGGCGCATGAGTACTTTAACTGCTGCCCACCCTGAGCAATAATTCCGGGTTCCTTTTCCCAAGTCCTCCCCAAAGACCCAGTCATTGTACAGTCAACAAGGCAGTTTTGGGGATTCATGTGGTAAGAGGTCCAAGAACATACCCATTCTATTCTTGAAGTAGTTACACATTACACTTTTTTCTAGGTAGTTACTGAATATTTAATAAGCTGATGAGAAAATGTATTGAAAGGTTGCTGTATCATGTTATATAAATATAACATTTGTTTTGAAAATATCTGAATCTGCATTTTTTGTGAATAAAAGTAAAAATTAGAGAGAAAGCATTTTTTGCATCAACAAGGACTGTCACGTCCGAAGACTGAAGTTATATAGAATGCGAGTGACCGTGCTTCATGTAGCATGACTCTGTACACCCGGTTTTAACTTTTAAGTCTGATTTAATTGTGACTTTGACAATCAGTTATTGAATGAGGTAGTCCACATTGCCTAGATATTTGCACTTTCCAGTCACTATTTCACAAGTAATTAAGTACAATATATCGGTTATGTTTTTCCTTTATGTTTAATAGGGGTGCTGAGAACATTGAGCGCATATTTAGTGGTACACAGTTCTTGAGAAAAGCCTTGATTTTTACATTGCCATTTGCAATACTTTTAGCAGCTTGCTACGGTATCATTTTAATAAAAATAAAGTGTACTCAGTGATGGTAGAGAAAATATTGTTAAAGGTCTCTCAGGACAGGAAAAGGCTCAGTCTTAAGGTCACGTGCTTATTCGTTTCGGCTGCATCATTCTGACTCATTACTTTCGAGAATAACTGTAATATTGCTACACAGTCCACTGTACGGAGAAGAAATTCCCTGGAACTTCACATGGAGAGTGAGTAAAGCTCTTCTATTTGTTTTTTGAAGTACTCTCTCAGCTCAGGTCTCTTAGCCTTTAATGTCGGTGTCAGCAAGCCGTTCTGAACTGAGAACATGTCACAATGGATGTGAATGGCTTTTACCTAAAAACCAAATGCAGAATACATCTTTATCAGGAATATAACACAGCATTGATAGCATACACGATCAAAATGAACAGGCATATGGGGATATATTGATATATAAAAACTCTGTGCCTATTTAAAAGTCAAAGTTATGTTAGTGACATTTCAGCCTACCCGACATGTCTGAAAACCGCCTCCTTCACCTTCCTACCCCTTCCCTTGGCCAGTCCGCAGAAGTCAATGGGCTGCTTGCTCTGTGCCGGGCACTGGTGGCACAGAGAGGAACCCTGAGTGGCCCTGCCCGGTCGCATCCAGCAGAGCAGACACACAGGGCAGTCATCAGACGACCTGCTCTGTGCAGGAGGACGGCGCCTAACAGTTACCGCAGGGAGAGGGAGGAGCTGTGGACGCAGCCCTGCCAAATCCGTGAGCACCGGCAATGAGTCGGTTAGCCAGCAAAGGGGGAGAGGTGGGTGGGAAAGGGCTTTCTAGGCAGAGGTGAAGGGAATGAGAGAGGTAAAGGGGATGGTAGATGGGACAGTTGATGGAGGTGCTCAAACTTGGTGCTGAAGAAAACAGGGAGGGACTGAAGGTTTTTATACGGGGCAATGACATGGCCGAATGCACATTTTAGGAAGGTCTCTTGGAGAGAAATGTAAGAATGGTTTTTAAGAACGTTAAGATTAGGAGCAGGGAACCCAACCGGAAGGACCTGGCTAACCCACGGGAGAAAGATGGGGGCCTGCACTTAGAGCAGTGAGAGAGATAAGTAAGCAGTTCTAAGAACAATTCAGAGATAAATGGGCAAAACCTAGTGAAGAGGGAGACAGCCCTGAGGACTCCCGGCTTTCCGGCTTGGATGGCTGTGCGGAGGACGGTGCCACTCATAGGAAGAACATAAAGAATGGGGAAGGCATGACGCGTTCATGGAACAGTCTCGCCTCTTTTGGAAGGAGGTGTGGCAGGATCAGACTTGGTGTTCACACTGCCTGGTTCCATGACGCACCCCAGGCCTCTGCAAACGCTGCCTCTCTGCAAGGCTGACTGCAGGGTCAGAGGGGCTGATCTAGGAAGGTGGGGTGGGTCCCCCTGTGGCCGCTTCAGCAGAAAAGGCCACTGTCAGTGCTATGAGAATTTTACAACCTGGGCTTGAGCTGAACCCTGGAAAGTCACTACCTCTAAGAAATTGTACCCTGACTGACAGGTCTGAATTCCATGCTGTTGTTGAGATAATAGATCCAGATCATTAAGTAGCAAAAAAGGTTATGAATTTATAATATAGACTTAAAAAATTAATTCACAATATATTTGTTAAATACACACACACATTCATATTGTCGTTTTGTGTAACTGACACTTACTGAGAAACTACTGTGTCAGGTATCGTGTTAGGCACTACAGAGACAAAGAAAAGCAGCACGCGGTACCTGCCCACGTGGAGCTTGCCATCTCCTGAGAGAGGCGGCAGCATGGGACTGATGGGGACAGGCGCCGAGAGGGTCACCTTTCGCGGGTGGAGTGAGGTGCTTCCCCACAACCTACTCCCTGCTTCTCCTATGCTAACAAAACCCTGATTTGGTTGGGGGTCAGAACAGTCTATGTCAATCATGACAATCCTTTCCCCTGATTTCCCAGCCTCCTTTGAAGCTAGGGGCTGGCCACGAAATCCGTGTGTGGCTAACGAGAAGGGGAAGTTTAGCTTTCCTAATGAAAGGTTCAAAGACAGACATCTCCACCCACTCTCCTGTTTTCCTTTCTTGAATGTAAACAATGTCCAAAGTTGTAGCAGCCTCCTTGTGACCACTAGGTGATAAACCAACACACTAAAAATGGAGAGTAGAAAGATCAGCACAGCCTAGGTCTTTGAAGGCCTGGACAGCCCATCTTTGGGTTTCTTAGTGAGATAAAAAAGAAAACGCAAAAACATACCCTATGTGTTTAAGGCACTGTGGGTTTTCTCTGAGAGCTGAATGCATTTCTGATCTAGTACCTAACCCAGGCTTGGGCAGGGTCCATTGAAAAGGGATGCCTGAGTTGAGCTCTGAAGGATGGGTAGGCTTTAGCCAGAGGAAGACTGCAAGGGGAAGGGGCGTGGTTGGTGCTGTGTGGCCTGAGGAGAGGAGGGTGCCCCAGGCAGAGGCGGCTCTGAGGCACCGCCCGTGCAGGCTGAAGCACACAGTGCACACGAAGAGGAAAGAGATGAGGCTGGAGGGATAGACCAAATTATAGAGGACTAATTAGCTAAGGTAGGGAGTTTGGAAGTACTTTTTAAAATAATCTTAAACAGGAAGAGACAGAACCAGAATGGCTCTTTAGACTGATTAATCCATTATGGATGGATTGAAGTGAGGTAAAAGTGGAAGCTGGAAGACTAGCTGAGAGGCAAGACTAATGGTGATTCAGGCCCAAAATTTGGCTGTGGGGATAGAAATAGATTTAGGGATAGAAAGGATGGGACTTACAATTGGCTTGGTTAAGTGGTAAAGAAAGAGAGATAGTAATGGTTTTAGGTATCTGCTTGAGCAGAAAAACTGGAGGAGGAGAAAGATTCTTTGGAGGTGGTAAGATGAAGTATTCCTGTAAAATATGAAATGCTTCTGAGACACCAAGTAGTCTTTGGACATTGGATGTATGAATTTTAGTGTTTGGGACAGAGCTACAGGCTAGGCTTGAGACAGAGAGGAAGTGATCTGAGAAGTAGAAAGAACTGGAATGTGGGTTACGAAAGCCAGGAGAACAAGAGAGAGAGGTTGCTGTGTCAGCTGTGCTGTCATAGGAGAACTTTCAGTAAAATCAGTGGAGAATTAATGCAGACTTCTGGTCAAGATGGCAGCATAAGCAGACATGACTCACCTCTTTACAAAACCACATCAAAATGACAACCACAATATAGAACAACCATCACTCAGAACTGTCAGAAATCCAGTTGAATGGAAGTCTGGCAACTATGGAATTAGAGAAACCACATCCATCCAGACTGGTAGGAAGGGGACAGACAAGGAACAGGCTGGTCCCACACCCACATGTGGTGGGTGAAAATTTCAGGAGCGAGGAGCCCCAGCCGCACACCAGGGCCACCAGCCCAGAGTTCCAGTGCCAGGAACATGAGTCCCCCACAAAAACCAGAGGGGATTGAATTGGTGGAAGAATATTCTGGAGTCCCAAGCAGTTCCTCTTAAAGAACCCATGCATGGACTTACCTACTCAGACTCACTGCCTCTGAGCTCCAGCACCAGGGTAGCAGCTTGAAAGACACCAGTGGCATCCTGGGAGAAACTGAAGTGTCTGGCATCAAGATAAGCAGAGGCCATTGTCCCTTCTCTAAACCCTCCACTCACAAGGCCACAGAGCTGGCAAAACTGGTGACATATCTGAGGCTCCATCAACCTGGCTAACACTGTCTGACTCACTTTGGAGATCCCCAGAGATCAGCCCCACCCGACTGATGGACCCACTTAAGCTTCTTTTCCATAGGAATGGCTGGTCTTGGCTCATATTTTACAACATCCTAAATCCTTTCAAACAAGCAACAGCTGGCCTCAGTGAGCCCCAGGTCCAGCACTAGCATTATCCAGCCTAGATTCATAGCTTAGCTTTGCCTGGGAATCTCCAGGCCAAGCATAAGCAGCAGCCATCTCAGATTGCTTAATAGTTCAGTCAGGATGGCCCCAGGCAAAACACAGGTGGGGGATGACCCTGGCTTGCACCACCCAGGAAAATCCAGGGCCAGCACATCCAGTGGACAGCTACAGATTAGGTTGGAGCACCACCACCCTGCCCCTGTACAGCTAATGATCCATGGAAGGTGGAGGTTGGTTATCAGTGGTCATAGCTAGTCCTTGCAGCTGACCAGCCTGGGTAAATCCCTCCCATTGATTTGCAAAGAGCAACCAAGGCTCAACTACAAGAGGAGGGTATACTCAGCTCACACAAAAAGCACACCTCAAATATCCAGCTTGGGTGATAGGGGAGGCTGTGCCACTAAACTCTATAGGACACCTACTACAACGGGCCACACACTACCAAGACATGGAGTCAAAGCAGCTCTACCCAATACACAGAAACAAACACAGGGAGGCTGCCAAAATGAGACAGAGAAACATGGCCTAAATGAAAGAACAGAACAAAACTCCAGAAAAAGAGTAAAACAAATGGAGACAAGCAATCTAACAGATGCAGAGTTCAAAACACTGGTAATAAGGATGCTCAAGAAACTTAGTGAGGACCTTAGCAGTATAAAAAACATAGGGTCAGAAACGAAGGAAACACTAATTGAAATAAAGAACATTATATAGGGTAATACCAGTAGAATGGATGAAACCGAGAATCAAATCAATGATTTGAAACATAAGGAAGCAAAAAACAACCAATCAGAATAAGAAAAAAAAGAATCTAAAAAAAATGAGGATAGTACAAGCAGCCTCTGGGACGACTTCAAGAGGTTCAATATTCACATCATAGAGTTGCTAGAAGGAGAAGGGAAAGAGCAAAAAATTGGAAATCTATTTTAAAAATAATGAAAGAAAACTTCCCTAATTTGGTGAAGGAAACAGACATGCAAGTGCAGGAAGCATAGAGAGTCCCAAACAAGATGGATGCAAAGAGGCCCACTCCAAGACACATCGTTATTAAAATGCCAAAAGTGAAAGATAAAGAATCTTAAAAGCAGAAAGAGAAAAGAAGTCATTACCTACAGCATAGTTCCCATAAGACTGTCAGCTGACTTCTCAAAAGAAACTTTGCAGGCTAGAAGGGATTGGAAAGAAATATTCAAAGTCATGAAAAGCAGGGACCTAGAGCCAAGATTGCTCTACCCAGCAGAGCTATCATTTAGAATGGATAGGCAGATAAAGAGCTTCCCAGACAATAAAAAAATAAAGGAGTTCATCATCACCAAATCATTGTTATATGAAGTGTTACAGAGACTTATTTAAAAAGAAGAATATCAAAACTATAAACAATAAAATGGCAAAAATACATATCTATCAATAATTGAATCTAAAAAACAAAGAAAGAAG